ATTTACAAGAAAACTGTTACAGATTAATTCATAACTTTGAAACGCTTTGACCTTGATGCCTGAAAAGATGCCAACAATATGGTCCTCTCCTTTTGCAACTCCACCTCCCCATCACTGGAGATTCTGCTATTTCTTTCCATCCACAATCCAAATAACTGCTATACTAGCACATCTTGTACTTCGAATGCAATTTGCTATCTTGTACTTGGTATATTCTGGGTGAACTTTTTCCAACTCTTAATAAATTACGTTTGATTCTTTATTCTTTTGAATGCTTTATATTGATGTTAATTATCAGTTGGCACTCTTTTTGTTTTTGTTTTGGTGCTAATTATTTTATAATCCTGTATTTGTTAGGTTATGCTTATATTTCCCCAACTTGTGAATCTTCAACTGGATAAGTTCCAAGCAGCACTAGCTCGCACACTACAGGTATTTTTGTTTCCTTGTTAGTTCTTGGATTATTTCATATGGTCATTACAGAAAATATGAGAAGATACTGCCATTGCCTTTCAATTATTTGTGTCATTTTCTGATACAAGTGTGACCTGGAAATTATTGAATCTCTTTTACAATTGCTTCCCATGCCCCACTTCTTGCTTTGCTTTCTAAGTTGCTAGAATCAGGCGTTCTATGTCTGTAAATTTGCTTATTTGTCTATGCGATAAATTATTTGTAAGACCCTTCTCTCAGTTAATAATTCCTTTGGTATTGTTTGTTTCTTATCATTTAATAATTCTTTCTTGCATAAATGTGCATGCTATCAGATATTTTACAAATTTTATTCATCATTCTTTGCTGTGTTCACAGCCTTTTCTTCTTTTCTTTTTTTCATATTTTTCAGCTACGTTTCTCTATGGACATGAGAACTGCCCACCCTATCTTAGATAAAATACACCACATGTTATGCCTTTTATTTAGTCAAGCTCTAAAATTTTTTAGATGATTTCATTGGTATAGTTCACTATTAATATGCTTGTAAAGTACATCTCTTATTCTCTGCTTGATCCTAAATATTGCTTGGACAGGGATCATCCAATTCTGGTCCTCTTCTTGCTCCAGCTGAAATCTTGATTGCTATCCATGGAATTGATCCCGACAGAGATGGAATTCCACTAAAGAAGGCATGTCATCTTTTGTTTTTATTGATTGGATACCTCTCTGAGTGGCAATAATGAATGGCTGGATATGTTTTTTGTTGAACAGGTCACTGATGCATGCAACGCCTGCTTTGAGCAGAGGCAGATATTCACCCAACAAGTTCTTGCCAAAGTTTTGAATCAATTGGTCTGTACCATTGGAACTTTATTAACTTTTTGTTACCACTGCTTTCAAGCACAACTTAAAAGACAAGCTTCTTACTTGCAGGTTGAGCAGATTCCCCTTCCTTTACTGTTCATGCGTACAGTATTACAAGCCATAGGTGCTTTTCCTGCACTGGTAAGATCCAACAAACTCTTTAAACTGATTCAGGACAAGGGAAATATGTGGGATTTCTGCTTTTTTTTTTACTATGAGATGTATGCTGTAAATTGTTGAGAATTAATGAAACATAGGAAAACTCAAGGAACAACATGAAAAAATTACACTGATAGAAACTACTAGCATCACACTAGTAGGATTCTAGAAATCATACTCGCAGAAACCCTAGGCGTGACACCTACAGCAAGACTGCATGACAAAACAATCCTAGAGCGAAGGATATATCGCTGAAAAGTTCTTTGAATTCATTAATCTCCCCCTCATAAAAGCTAATTGGTCTGACAGTGAGGTCCTCATCATAACTTGCAGAAAAAAAAGTATCTTCTCAATATTTTTTAAAGAATAAAGAAAAAGTTTGAGTAATAATGCCTATTTTGCTTTCTGGGTTAACAAACTTAAACTTCTGTAGTTCTATCACCGTAACAACTCCCAAGTCTGTCAAAGTTAAGGAGCCAAAGTAGATCCAAACATACAACCAAGTTTTCGTGGTCAACTTATATTGTTCAAATCAGGCTCAGTTTGAGCATTATGACCATGTGCAGATGTGTCTATGGCATTCATGTAAATACTAATATACCTTCGATTATATCTTTGACATTTCTGGACACTAGCTGCATTAAGGGATTTGTTAAATCTACAATGCTTGTAGGCTGAACATGCCCCATGATTGTTGAATCCACTTGCAAATCTGCTAGATTTCCTCGTTTGTTCAATTTAGTTGCCACTTGTGATTGATATCTTCAATTTCTTACCCTTAAAATTCAATGAAAATTCAGCCTACTTTTCATGTTCAAACTTTGGCTAGCATGTTGCTGACTTGTCGAATTTGCTTTATCAATAAATATCATAGGTGGATTTTATAATGGAGATCCTCTCTCGACTTGTGAGCAAGCAGGTAACTTTCAGTATCCTAAGCTTTTTTCTTGGCATCTATTATTTATAATATATTTATGTGATTGATGACATGTTGCAGATATGGAAATACCCAAAGTTGTGGGTGGGATTCTTGAAGTGCGCGTTCTTGACAAAGCCTCAGTCATTTGGCGTCCTGCTTCAGGTGCATATTTGCTGCTATCTGTGTTACTCCTTGCTTTCCTATAAAAGTTGGACCAAATCCTTGAACTTTCTACCTCTTTTTAAACTGAGAAAATAAAAAGGAATTCCAAAGTAGATTATGTTGTGTTCCGGTTTATTCCACATACTCATTTCGTTTACTTGAGGTAGGAAATTCATAATTTAATATGTGATGTATTTGTTTACTTAGAATGTGCATTTGGACTTTTAAACAACTGTTGTTCACATCTTTATGAGTTCTGATGGTATGTGTATTGTTGACTCAGCTACCTCCAGCACAACTAGAAAATGCACTGAAGAGAACTGCAGCTCTGAAAGCACCGTTGGTTGCTCACGCTAGCCAACCGGACGTCCGATCTTCACTTCCAAGGTAAATGAAAACGCTCACTTGTAAAGATCTCTAAAATGGAGGAGGAATCAGCAGCTGATATTAGAGCTGGGCTTGATTTTTTTCTTCTTCCAGGTCCATATTGGTAGTTCTAGGAATTGTTTCAGATTCTCAGGCACAAACCAGTCAGTCTCAGGCGGGAGATGCAAGCAACTCGGATAAGGAGGCAGTCACAGAGAAATCGAAGGAGTCATCCAGTGCTTGTTGAAATTCCAAGTCAATTCTGAATTGTTTTCTGCTTTAAGTTTGACATCAGAGAACAGACCGGACTCCGAAAATACACGGACTTCCATGCTACAAATCTTTTCACCCTGACGTGAACGACATCAAGGCGGTCATGGTTGTGTTATATATATATATTATCAAATGGTAAAACTGAGCAGATCGCCATGTATCATAGAATTACCGCGTTCTTAGAATAGTGAGCAATAAGAGATTCAGTAGGCAACGGTTCGATTGTGTACCATATGATCAAAGGTTTGTAATTGAAACAAATTACAAAGGTTTGTAATTGAAATAAATTATGTTTCAGCACTCGATGTATTTTTTGTTGAATCTTTGGCAGACTAATGTTTTAATAATAATGTGAACTCTCAATACGCTTTTAATCACTTTTAAACCAAAGCTGTGTTGAACCTCATTCCAATTAAAAATATCAAAATGGAGATCCTACCATGTAGCTTATTTTGCAGTGTTTATCTTAATAAAAATTAAAATGAAAGTAAATTTTTTGTTTTTTGAGAGAAGTGAAAATAAAATTATTGAACGTCAAAGAATAAGCCCAGCTATTTCTCAACAACATATTCGAGTATCCTGGGTGGGACTCGGATCAGGAGTAGTATGCTCACCGATTTCGTTTCTCAACTAGAAAAATTAGGGTTTCTGCTTCTTGGCGGCTAGGGTTTTGCTCAACGCTAGGGTTTCTGCCTCTGTCACTCCTCTCAAACATTCCAACTTCAATTTGGGTTTATTTTTTATTTTTTATTTATTTTAAATTTTTATTAAAGGAAACATTTTTTATCCCCAATTCTCGTCTGGGTTTGTTGTGGCAAGTCGTGAACTTTGATCCTATGATCTAGCTGTTCTTGAATAGACCCTGCTTGTTGATTTGATGCTTGAGCTAATTGCTCTCTCTCTCACGCCCACACAGAGATGATGCAGAGGCAGCTCTTGAAGAAGCTCAGTTTCAGACCTCCCAATGGCGTCACTCAATTCAATCAACGGAGAGAGATGCACAGCAGGAACAAGAAGGCCATGGAGTTGATAGCCAAAGGGTGGAGTGCTTTAAAAGAAGTGGACAGAGTTATCGATTACTGCGAGCTCAATGACCGCCGCCTCATCCCTCTGTTAAGGGCAGCAAAGGAAAACTTTGAGCTGGCTCTGGAAGCTGACAATTCAAACACCCATGCCAGGTTTTGGTTGTCCAAACTCCATTTGAAATACCATGTCCCGGGAGCTTGCAGAGCCATAGGAGCTGCTCTGTTAGTTGAAGCCGCGAATATGGGTGATCCGGATGCGCAGTATGAACTAGGTTGTAAGCTTAGAGTCGAAAATGAATACGTCCAATCGGATCAACAAGCTTTCCATTATCTGGAGAAGGCTGTGGACCAGCTGCACCCAGGTGCTCTTTACCTTCTGGGTGCCGTGTATCTCACGGGGGAGTGTGTGAAGAAAGATATTGCCTCTGCATTGTGGTGTTTACATAGGGCATCGGACAAGGGGCATGCCGGTGCAGCTATAGCATTTGGGTCTCTTGTTCTTAGAGGTGTTGAAATCCCAGAATCTGTGACCAAGCTCACTTCAAAGAGGGGTTCTTTGGCCAGGACGCCAAGAAAGAATGGAGAAAGCCTGGTAACAGATCCTGTAGAGATGGCGAGAGAGCGGTTCCAGATTGCTGCGAAAGGAGGATGTGATTTAGGACTCAAATGGTTGGAAAGACTTGAGGAGGAAGAGAAGCAACTATTGACTGGAAGTGAAATGGTTGAACAGACTTGAGGAGGAAAAGAAGTCTTTAGCATATACATTCTTCATTCTTATTTGATGTATACTTTGGGAATTGCCATAATAAAAAACATAAATTCTCTGAATGTTCCAAATTCGTTCAACCCTATAGTTTAATTACAAAAGAATCGGAGTTAATCCTACATCGAGAGAAATGCTTCCACCAAACGTGTATCTGGTTAGGTGCTGCCCCAAGGCAAATTTCTGCCTATCCCTAAAGTGACCTTAGTTAACATCATGCTGTCAAAACGGAAACAGGAAATCCATGCATTTGAAACCATTCAGGCATGTGGAATCTCTCATAAAGCACAGGCCTCACATCTTTTTGCAGGGAGAGCTGCTTGAGGTGAGGAAGCAGGACCTCCAAAAGCTACACAATCCACATGAATGGAAAGCAAAGACGGATAGAATCAGTTAGAACATGCTTCAGTTCAATTTTAACTCTTTATTTGAAACGTAAATAAATGAATAACCTGATCATCGTATGGTTGTCCAGCAGAAAATGGAACACATGGAATTCCATTCAGTGGTTGCAGCAAAAAACTGAATGGGTTGTTGTCAACAATCACAGTTCGACAGAGATCTTTTGACAAACAAGATAGATCTTTCACATGTTCCCGGCATTCCCTGTGGTTTACACAACTTCAGAGATCATTCCAAGTTCCAACTTGAGCTTTGATAATCAAGGGCAAAAATACTTCAGTGTGCAAGTGTATGAGTGTGTGTGTTGATATATCCCACAATATGTCAGCACTTATTATTATCAAATTGCACCAGCATGCTCACTGACTTACGTGCTAACAGTAGAAGGCCGATAAAGACGAAGCTGAAATAGATTCTCCACATCAATTCTGTCAACAAGTGGTCTAGCATAGTCTGTATGGTGGCCAGAGTAAATAAAAGAAAATAGCAAATCAGATAAAGAAATTGAACAAAAAGAGATTGTGGAACTGGGAAAGCAACAAACCTTCAACACCAGCAGTGAATAGTACAAGATCAGCAAATTCATAAACCCGTTTCAAGAACTCTCGCAAACCAGGACGTTCAAACACTGTCACATGATTGACTTTTGGTTTCCCATCTGTCTCCTTCAACCCCAAAAAATAACATAACAGACGGACTATCATTTGACAATCAAATTGAGTATAAAGTTGCAGAGAGAGAATAAAAGGTCTACATACCTTGTCAGAAGATACACATTCTATCTCAAACCACTTCAGCCCAGCTTCCGTTGCTTGAGTTCGAACAATTGCAGGCAAGCTACATGTTTCATAAGCACATACTAAAGTCTCATCCAAGTCAAGAACTACCTACATTACAAAATCCATAACAAGTTTAAAACCCATCACTCAAAAACACTAGCCTGCTCATGTTACTGAACCAAGTGGAATTAAGCTTCAATAACGCTGCTAAAAGCTAACAAATTTAAAAGCTCAAATACCCAGTTGACAAAATACTAACACTGCTAAAAGTTCCTTCATTTTCAGCTCAATTAACTAAAAAAGGGAGTCACTTTCACGGTATATCAATAATGCAATAAATGTCCGTGCGCTAAAATCTAATTTCTAAAGGCGCAAATTAACAAAACCATGATGATCAAATTCACTTGAAGAAATGAAAATTCCTTTTGCAGATAACCCAGATAATTATTTCAGATAATTAACTGCATCCGACCATCAATTCAGCTGAATTAACCCAGAAAGAAAAACGCAACGAAACCAACTTCCAACAGTAACAATTAGCAACTACACCAACAAAACTAACAGATGAAGATACTCACTGTGAGCTTTTCCATGTGGCGGTGACCATTTATGACACCGTTTTCAACTTGGGCAAGGGACGACAAGTCGTTGAGAGGGAGTTCGACGACGGGCAAGGGTCTGAAAGAAGGAGAAGAGGGGCCTACGAACGACAGCAGGTGAGGAACGCAAGGCGTGTCTCTCAGGATCTGAAGAAGGATCTGGAAATAGAAGCCCATCCAGTTGATGAAAGCTCGCCATAGTTGAAGGCTCCTCGGCACGTACACTTCGGCAGCCTGGCCAATCGGCGCCATGGCAGCCCACACCAATCCACCACCACGGCCTCTGTCACTGAATGCGACACGATCTTAGAGAAACAATGGCGCTCTTCTGCATCTGTAAGTTGTCACTGTTTTCTTTAAAAGAAAAAAAACAGAACAATTGTAAATATCGTGGAATTACGGTGGTGGTCGTGGGCCTTTTGGTTAATTGTTACCTCGACAACAACAACAGCACAGCTGCGTTGTACTTTGCTGTTTTATCTTTATTTCTTTATCCATTATACTTAAGTGCATCATTCTCCTCTAACAGTTGCGATTAACGAATTTTCATCATACACATTTCATAATCGAAACCGTTATCATACAAATCAACGTTTATAGATCATTTTTGCAAAAAATTTATTAAATTGAAGATCGATTAATTATACATATAAACTGAAAATTTTAGTAACAATTAAAATTCTTATGATTAACCGTATATATACTTGAAACATATTACTAAATAAATTGCAAAGATGATTTTTAAATATTGATTATTACAACTGTGCGGTGACGATTCTTTAATCATATTATTAACAATTCTTATTATTAATTATTGGATTTTCATCAAGCAACCTATCTTCATATTAAAAAAGGTCAAGTGGTTGAACACTTTTTGATGATGACAAATTTCAATTTGATTCTTTAAAATTCTTATGATTAACCGTATATATACTTGAAACATATTACTAAATAAATTGCAAAGATGATTTTTAAATATTGATTATGACAACTGTGCGGTGACGATTCGTTAATCATATTATTAACAATTCTTATTATTAATTATTGGATTTTCATCAAGCAACCTATCTTCATATTAAAAAAGGTCAAGTGGTTGAACACTTTTTGATGATGACAAATTTCAATTTGATTCTTATCTTCCAGTCCAAGTAAACAAATTTGGGCCGTATGATTTATCATCATAAGATATAGTCCAATAAGATAAAGGTCTGCGATGGGACGGGCCTAGTCAGCCCACTTATATAAACAGCGGTTGTTTGCTGTGATGACTCGTCACTCACGTCACGTCACCACCACACTCCGGCCAGAACAAGAAGTCCCAGGTTTAGCTAAAACGCAGCGTTTTGAGAAGCACATACAGAAATCCTAAGCTTTTTTGTACCAGAGAAAGCGAGAGAGAGAGAGAGACACAGAAAGAGAGATACAGAGAGAAACAGAGGCATGGGCGTCGATTACTACAAGGTTCTTCAGGTAGAACGAAGCGCCAAAGACGATGACTTGAAGAAAGCGTATCGAAAGCTCGCCATGAAGTGGCACCCTGACAAAAACCCTAACAACAAGAAAGCCGCCGAGGCCAAATTCAAGCAAATCTCTGAAGCCTACGACGTACGTAATCTCTTAAATTCTCGTTGTTGTTAAAATTCTCAAAATTCCCAGCTGAGATTTATTGTCAATTTTTTTCAATCAATCAAATTGGATAGGTTTTGAGTGATCCCCAAAAGCGAGCGGTGTATGATCAATATGGTGAGGAGGGTTTGAAGGGAGGGGTGCCGCCTCCTGATTCGTCCTGGTCGGGCGGGCAAGGCCAAGGCCAAGGCCAAGATGGCGGTCCGACGATGTTCCGGTTCAACACCAGGAGCCCGGATGATATTTTCTCTGAATTTTTCGGGTTTTCGGGTTTCGGGGGAATGCCCGATATGGGCGGGTCACGGGCAGGCGGGTCTCGGGCTGGTGGGAACCCATTCCAGAGGAGTATGTTTGGGGAAGACATATTCGCGCAATTTAGAGGTGGAGCAGAGGCCTCAGGGAATGTGCCCAGGAAAGCTGCACCGATAGAGAGGACATTGCCTTGTACTTTGGAGGACTTGTACAAGGGTACCACAAAAAAGATGAAGATTTCTAGGGATGTTCCTGATGCTAGTGGGTAAGCCTTTACTCTCCCTCTATATATATAAATATTGTTATTGGATTTTTAAGACCCTCTCTCTATGTGTGTGTTTGTTTTCTTGGGTGAGTTGATTGCATGGCTGAGGTTACACAATAGGGTTTTTAGTAAGTTATCTCCTTTCCTGGTTTGAATTTGCGAGGCTTAGCAATAACATTGTGTGTGAGTTCTACTGTTCTTACTAATTTGAGTGATACCTGGTAGCTATATCTTCTCAACATCATTCAGGTGGCATTTTCAGCTCAGGTGTATTTAGAATTCTAGAGTTTAGATCTCCATTAGTTTGTGCAATTAGCTTTATCTTCTCACATCATTCAAGTGCATTTTTTGTTCAGGTGTATTTAGAATTCTAAACTTTGGATCTCTGTTGTTGTTCTTTAATGTTTACGTATTGCATCTGAATTCCCTTAAGGGCCTATACATGATACTGTTCGAGACAGGAGGTAGAAATGAAGTGCATAGAAGCAATTTTTTTTTCTTTTCAAGTGTAAGTGAATGATGTTATGACTACTGATGCTAGTACTTTTCTGGTTAATGTTCTTGTTTTGATGTTCAAGTTGTTTTAAGTTTTAAACTTCCAGTGTTATTTTTATTTCCCCACATGAGTTCTCATTTGATAGAAAAATATCATTGTGTGGATAGGAAAGTTCTTGTTGAAAATTGAGTAAAATATCAGTATATATTAGCAGTTGCAAGAGATGAATACATCACAATTTGTGCATCTTTTCTGATTTATCTGATGAACTTGTATTAGTTATGGTGTAACAAAATGAACTAAATCTTAGATTATGGTTCTTTCCAGTACCACCAACATCTTATATCCCTTTATAAAGTCTTTCCACAGACTTTAGCGGTCATCCTGAACGTAATTAAATTATTAGTAGTGCAGTTAGGTGATTCTTGGTTTCATCCCAAACATTAGGATAACTAGTTAAGATTGCAGTAATCGGTGTTAGGTTCCGCTAGTTAAATGGGAGTTTTATGTTGGGTTTTTCTTGTCGAGCAATGATAGCCTTGTAAGATGGTTTTACCTGATAACCAGTGCTGATGAAGAAATAAACGTAGATGAACTGACTGAACTAAGCCTTAATCCTTACTATGTGTGTTCGGCACACGAGTCATTTTTTCTCCCTTACAGATTTTTGGAAATTTATGTTCTCTAATCTCCATTATATCCTCGATGATAATCTCTGACAACTTCACCTATCACTTGGAAGTCTTTCTTGAAACCCACCATGTTATTATTGATGAAAATGCTGTCATGTTCTGTGCATCCTTATTATTACTATATAAGTCATGTTTCTTGTGACTGCTTATATATTCAAGTGTTGCCTGTATTTGTACTACGATTATATTTTCCTTTCTTGCTCTAGTACCCAGGCATACCAGAATGATTACTGTACTATTGAGTGCTACGGTTATTATGATTATCTAAAGTTCAGAGCCTGGGAGGGCCACATGTACATATGGTTTGTGGGCAGTGTTGAGGTAAATCATGAAATTGTTGCACTAGGGTGGCAGAAATGTCTTTGCGTTTAGGGGTATCGTAACTTGATACCATCCCTGGCGGATATGGATGTGTAGAATATGGTTGTGGTTAGATTCATTTGCCAGTTGGCAGGATGTATATTGGCATTCTATAATACATATTGATGTTGGAGAGAAACTCTTCAAGCTTTAGCTTGATGATCTTGTCATTAGTAATGTTATTGTTTATCTTCCAGGGGTGGATTTGTCACCTTTTGGATCCATTTAATTGACATGTCTGTGTTGGATCCATATGCTATTTATTGTTTTTTTTTTTTTTTTGGTACAGGAGAACTACCACAGTGGAGGAAATTCTAACAATTGAGATCAAGCCAGGTTGGAAGAAAGGCACAAAAATCACTTTTCCAGAGAAAGGGAATGAACAAAGAGGAATTATACCAGCAGACCTTGTCTTTATCATTGATGAGAAGCCTCATAGTCTTTTCAAGAGGGATGGGAATGATCTTATTGTCACTCAGAAGATATCTCTTGCGGAAGCTCTGACAGGTCACACGGCACAGCTGACAACACTTGACGGGAGAAGTCTGACAGTTCCCATCAGTTCTATTATCAGTCCCACATATGAAGAAGTGGTCAAAGGGGAGGGGATGCCTATCCCGAAAGAACCTTCCAAAAAGGGAAACTTGAGAATCAAGTTTAACATCAAGTTCCCTACCAAGCTTACCTCAGAGCAGAAAACTGGCATCAAACGGTTATTAACATCTTCATAGGGGCTGGTGGTAGCTCTCCCAACCATCTACCAAACCTGTGAAAGCGTGCATTTGTTTGGTTTGCTAGTAATTTTGTTCTCTTTGTTTTCTGGATTGGAAATTCACGCCTCGTTGAATTTGGGGATTTGATCACAGCATTTGACTAGGAGGTTGTTAATTTCCACTTTCCATTTCTCTTCTTTTCCAATCTTTTCTTAACTTATGTAGAAATGCTGGATAGACAAGAAATTATTGACACTTGAAATTTGTAAACTATTTGTTAACCTCTTTAGGGTATTTCCCCCTTAAAATTCCCCTCTTCCTCTCCTCCTTCCCTCTTTGCTTCTGCATCTACCACTCTCTGTGAGTCTACTGTGTAGATATTTGTATTGTGTTACTTGTGTAATAGTAAGATTGTCAAAGTTGGGCGGGGTAGGTGAGGAAATTGGTTGGGATTAGGCTAGTTTAGGGTTTTATTTTCCTTCTATTCTAATCCAAACGAAAAAATAAGAAGCAACCAGGACGAGTCGTTTATCGTTATAGTCCTACAAGCATAGGCAGCCCGTTTGTACAAGTAAGGAATGCAACTGAGGAACAAACTGAAGGCTAACTTCTTTTTTCCTTGTATTAGGCAAAGAAAATTGGAATCAACCAACTACTAAAGTCTTCCACTTATCTTCGTCGAAAGTCTTGGCCACTATCAAAGAGAAAAATACTACCTACTCTATTTGTTTAGCGTTAATCTAATAACACGAAAATTAAACAAAAGGGACATAGCTTTTTCTCCCACATGATCATTCACATCATAAAAACTGAACCCTCGAGGAAGTCTTCTTTCTTTCTTTATGTTTTTGGGTTCGGTCGGAAAACCCTCGAGGAAGTTCACAGCAAAAAGTTTTTAACTTTCCTGAAGTTGTAAGCCACGTGTAAGCTGGTGAACAAAACAGTTTTGCTGCTACAGTCGCTTGACCTACTGTCGCTAGCAATCCTTGTGGTGGTC